TCACCAAAAATACTTTTTAAATTCAGAATTTTATTTTTATTAATAAACACTAACTAATTAATTAGGTTTTTAATTCTATGAAACTTTAATTTATTTTGTAAATATTTAAATTAATTAGAAATCATTTAGGTTTTAATTCTAATTCAATTATTTTAATTTCTTTCTTAAATAATCAAAAACTCCAAAAATATGTAATTAATTATTTTTTCCATTTAATTAATTTAATATTAATTTAGTATTTAATTTAGGATTTAATTTCTTTTCTTAAATAAAAAAACAACAAAAAAAGCATTTTCTTTTAAAATGGTCAAAACCCTAATTCGCATTCGATTTAATTTCCCGCGCGCTTTATTTATTTTTATCCATATTGATGTATCTACTTCCGGTATGTAATAGATAATTAGGACCCTTTATTTATTTTACCGCTTTATTTTATTTTATTTTCAAAGGGTTGCTTTTGGCGATGTAAATATCCGACGCCTTGTAATTTAATTCCGCACATTATATAACTGCTAGATGTTTGATAATAGGGTTTGCATGACAAGACTGCATGCCTAATCTTAAAATCAAATTAGATCACCCTTAACATGTGCCAAGATAAAAATAACTGAAAATAACACACTCGCACATGCGCACTCTTAGGGTACACCCCACTTGGTTGCCTTCGTACACGGTCATTGAGTATAGGTCGTTTTAGAGGTCGTCCTCTTGTCTAAAAGATCATAGTTGCCTCGAAACAGTTGCCTCAAATGTTGTTTCCTCAAACAAATGATCTAAGACTCTAGGGTTACCGCTAAGGCGTCCTAACATTGCTTTAGTGACCGTACGTCCCTCATTTGAATTGACCCTCAAACTCCAACGACGGTGCTACCTACTCATTAATAGTGGGATAGCATTGTCTAAAGGAAATTAGCATAGAACGATGCTTTTTTCGAGTAGGTAGATAGTTCTTAGATACTTGCTCATCCAAAACAAAACAAATTTTTTCACACTTACACTCATTTTCAAACAAAGTTTTCAAAAACACTTCATTACACTCTTGAGGACAGAAGCAAGAGTTAAACCGAAGTTAAAAATAAAAACTTTTTTTTTTAAATCCACAAGCACAAAGAAAACAATTTTGAAAATGATGAGCAAGTACCTAAGATCCCGTAGATAACTACGGATAGAAAGGGTTCTAATACCTTCCCTTTCTATAATCTATCCCCCGTACTAAGAAATATCTCAAAAAAGGGAATTTTTTTGTGCTTTTTTCCTTTCCTTGTTGGATAAAATAAAAATCGATGGCGACACTTGCTTACCGCGACATTTTGCAAACACAAACGCAAAATGCAAATCAGCATTCCAAAAACAGTCAGTTCTTCCCACCGTATCACAGTGAACTTCGTCTTTATTGAGTGCTTCCTCAATCTTTGTTGATGTGCACGATGAAGATGATGTTCTTGAGCCTTTGCTTAGATGATTTCCTCAATGATGTATCGAGAAAGAAGATATAATTGAACCTTCCCTTAGATGGACTTGATTTTCCCGATATTAGAATGCATCATTGAATTAATTGAAAAATTACCTTGCCCCTGGTTGAAATTAAAGTTTTTTATATTTTAGAAGAAAACTCCAACTCCTGGCTCGAGGGGGTTGACTACAGATTATCTCCTTATATCTCCATTGTTTGGGAAGTGAAACAATGCCTTATATCGTCAGCTAAGCCTTACTATTAAAAAGCATACGTCGGCAAAATTCGATTATTTTGTATTTTCATTCTCCCTCAAAGTTTGTTAAAGTTGAAATGGAAGATGGAAGTGAATAATTGATATTTATGAAAAGTGATAAAAGAGTGAATACGAATGGATCGATTTCAAAACATGCATGCTTATTTTATTAGAATTACTAATCAAAAGATACAAGTTTACAACAAATACAACCTAGCAAATTGGATTTTACAAATTGAATTTGATAGAGTCTGATGATCTTTAAGATGAAATTTTTTGTTAATCAGTTGTCTTTAAGGGATGCTTCGTAGTTTTTGCACCTGTCAAAGCATGGGGATGACCCTTGACTTCTCTTCGGGCATACCAATTATGTTGATATGGAAATTGCTCTTGATGTAGAGGAATCACCAATGGTAGAGGCATTTGAGGTGTTGTATAGGCTTGTAGTTATCATGGTGAAAGGTTGCCTTCTCTCTTCAATAAGATTTATAGGACCAAGTTTAATTGAGTCTCTAGTAGATAATCTCCTTCTTCCACAGTTTCATACTTTCTTAAGTTTGTTGGCGAGTATCAAGAAATCGACTAGCATGTGGATGATAGAGGGCGAAGGTGGAAATGCATGAGATATAAATGTATGAATGTATATAAATGCATGGGTATGCAAAATATTTTTGTCTTTAAGGGTATGCTAAAGATTTCATGGAGATAAAATGTGACGCAGATGTAGTATGAGGGTAGACGTAAGGATACCCTATACTAGTTTAATGGTTGATATAGAAATGATGATGTCCTACACTGACTCAGAGATTGAGACAGACAGAGACTCCTTGAGGATGAAAAAAATAAAAGACATGGATTTGATGATATCCTACATTATCTCAGAGATTGAGACATGCAGGAATTCTTTAGGGATTAAAGACCATAGAAGACGAAGAGGAATCCCTACAAGTTAGGGATTATAACTGAGGGACGAGAATTCCTACAAGCTAGGAATTGTGATAGCCCAATGGGCGGTTGAGGAATCCATATAGGCTAGGGGTTATTACTTACGAAAGATAAACCCTACAGGCTAGGGATCATAGTATACCGGAAGTAACCCTTGCGGTGTACGGATAGTGGAAATGAGATTATATGAATGGTATCCTTAGAAGTTAGGCTCCTAGTTTTGGCCTACGGTTAGTCTATCCTCCCCATAAGGCGGTTTCCTTAAGGTTGTCATGAATAACACTAGAGGGAAAGGCACAAGGACTTCCCTTAAGTGGAGCCTCTTTGCAGACCAGAACTTTCGTCTCTAGGTCGTGAAAGGTCTCCTCATGAGTTTTTGGTTTAAAGGCCATACAAAGAGTCATAGGTGTCATTCCAAAGTCCTACTTCCCAAGAGGATGTCTCTTGAGAGGTATTATTTTTGCGAAATTCCATCGACTCTAGGCGAAGTCGTCACATAAACTCATAAGGATGATGTATCCCATTGGCTAATAGACGAACCTTCTTTTTAAGGTTTTTTGAAAATATTTTTGCGAAATTAAAACCCCACTACAGATATAATAATATGATAAAAATAACAACAGATAAATAAATGAATAAATAAATAGTTAAATAAACAAATATAAAAACCCAAAAAAAGAACCTTAAAATCAAAAGACAAGGCTTCTAAACCTAGGGTTGAGTCCCCAGCAAAGTCGCCAGCTGTTGCAACTAGTTTTTAAATAAAAATCGCCACCCTTAATTTTTATCCTAAGGAAGAGAGTATAAAGGAATAACCAAAAAAGTTAAAGATCCTAGGTTTTTTGACTCAGTCTTAGACGAAGGAAAGGTGTTAGGCACCCCTCATCTGCCTGCCTTGTTCACAAGGATACTGGGGTTAGAAGCGCATTTTTTAGTAAAAAGGGTTTTAATATATTTTAGGGGGAAATTGTTTTAATTTTAATTAGGGGGAAAGGGTTTTAATTTTAATTAGGGGGACTCGCCACGATTTTAGTCGTATGCCTATGTATCCTCTTATGATGAATCAGAGTCCAAATTCGTAGTTCATAGTTGGTTGGTGTTTTTTATAAGATTGTGTATAATTGCTTTTGAATTGACCTTGAACTTTGTCTGGGTTGTAAATTGAGTGATCGTAGACGTGGTTCACAGTTTGACTCAAAGACAATGCTATTTAATATTTTTTTGAAAAATGATGTTGAGTTTTTGTTATGTTAGTAAAAAATGATTTAAGATTGGTTAGTTGTTTTGGTATTTGATTTAATTAAGACGTGGAGCAGGGGAGTCTGATATAGTCTCCTCCTCATGTGGCCAGATATTATCCGTGTGTTGCTCGTCATGAAGGATACAGGGAAAGTCTGATATAGTCTTCCTTATCACGTGGCCAAATATTGGCTCCGTGTTGCTCGTTATGAAGGATGCAGAGGAAATCTCATATAGTCTTCCTCACCACGTGGCCAGATATTGACTCCGCGTTGCTTGTTATGAAGGATGCGGAGGATGTCTGATATAGTCTTCCTCATCACGTGACCAGATATTGGACACGTGTTGCTCGCGGATGGAATATTTGATGAATTACGTGGATTTTGATATTCGATCGTAATTTAAGATTTTGAATAATAAACCGGTAAATGATGTATCAATATATTTAATTATTCGAATATGGATATCCTAAAAAATGTTGAATTAATTAATTGTAAAAAGTCTTTTGAATGTGTACAAAGTTTATTAATAATAATAATTTTTTCTGACATCCTTTTGTAAGGCTAATATAACCTAAATTAGTCTAATAAAACTAAATTAAAAATTTAATTTCAATAAATAAAAGAGTGCAATGATGAATTAAGAATGGTGTAAAATTAGTAAAAGAGTAGAGGAATTGAGCCCAAGGCCCATTACTATCACTAACCCTAATTTGCTATTGATAAATATAACAAAAATAAAAAATATACACAGTATGCCAAAAATAAAGGAGGAGACGGACTACACACACCACCACATTAAAAAAAATTATCACTTTTTTTATACCTTATAACCACTTAAAACCTGGCACATGGCATTTGTTATTATAAAAAACAAAATATAATTCATAAAAAAGGGTCATTGGTTTTCTATTCTCACAGAATTTCCTCTTTTTCTCTTACAGCAGCGCTTCTTCTCTCTTCTTCTCCGCGATGACCTTCATATTTCTATATTCTTCAAAACAAACCAAATCCAACAAACAAAATACCCAAAACAATAAAAACAAAATGAAGAACCTGGCACGGTGAATCGATGGTGAAAGACGAAGCGTGGTGGTCGCGAGCGGAACTAGAGCTCTATTTCAGTGGTTGTTATCGGTTTCGATTCGGTTTCATATTCTTTTCCTTTATTGTTCTTCAACCCTGTTGATACTGAAGGTCGCGGCCGGATTAGCGAGGTGGTGGTCGGCAAGCGGATCTGCAGCGTGAGTTGAGTGTTGACGGGGTGGGTTCCGATTTCGGTGTCGTCGATGTGATGGGAGCTTGGCCGACTGAACTGCATCTGGTATGGAGCTTCATCGGGAGGCAAAAAGGAATTCGTGCAGGAGCGGTGGTCGAATTGGAGTGTTGTCTGGGCTGAGCGCGGATTCGATCTTGCGGAGGAGCGGCTGCGTGCCTGAAACTGCAACCGGAGAAGGGGTCTCATTGTCGGAGTTGTGGGTTTCTCGTGGCGGAGCTTGTCGTGGAGGATCTCACAGCTGACTTTCGTTGCCGTAAATGATGGTGGCATTGAATTGTTTCTCCTGCAAAATAAAATTCTAAACAATATACATATTTTTTGTTAGAGGAACATGAGATATTGTTGTTATAACATACAGGTTTATGGCTAAGTTTAGAAAGTAATTTGTAATGTTAAAGACATTGAAAGTTTTGGAGAGTTCTTGTCTTCGCGAATGGGAAATTGGTGTGTGAATATATGAGTGTTAGTAAGAGTTTTACCAGGAAAATGAATTTTTCGACAAAAGAGAAAAAGAAGTTTCTAAAAATTTCATGCCCAGTTGAATACTTGTTAGTGTGTACGTGTATATATAAAAAAGCTTATGGGACTTATGAGTGTTAAAAAGATTGAAAAAATTGAAAAATAAAATGAAAGGTTATGGCTAAGTGTATGTGAAAGACAAAACTCAAAAATAAATCCAAGAATTGCGTAGAAAAATATTTGTGAGAGAGATAGAGAATTGTTGATGAGATTGTTGATTTGTGGATATTTTGGATGATTGTTGATACCGTGGAAATTGTGAATATTTCTGGATGAAAAATTAGGACAATGAGGATAGAAAATGAAAATAAAGTTAGGAACAATAAATAACAAAAATATCCAATGTGCACCAAGTGAGATTTGAACCCGTGACCTTCTGCTTGTCAAGCTTTTTCTGCTTGTCAATCTTTCTCCCTTATCAACTGTATTATGTTACTTATTCAAAAGTAAAAAGTCAATTGAAAGTATATGACATCGAACAATTATTTGCTAGTTTTACAAATGATTATTATATTTTCAAACAGAGTCGAAAGCGATTTTTTATTAAAAAACCTCAGAATGTTAATATAATTAAACCAAAGGAGTTTTTTATTTGTAAAACCCAAGTTCGAAAATAAATTTGGCGGTAGCACTAAGGCAGACAAATTTAGGGTGTGACATCGGCGATTTTGTAATGATTCTCGTATCGTTGAGAATGCATACAAAGTGTTTGTTTTGAAAATATTTTAGAAAAGAGTGTATTAGGTGAAAAATATTTTTGTTTGTGAGCAAGCGACTACGAGTTATCTACCCTTACTCAAAAGTCTTTCGCGTTATTTTGCTCCTCCTTTAGATAGTGTTATCCTACCATTAGTTAGTAGGATGCCCTATCATTGAATGTGCGAGGGATATGCATGGGTCATCGTACAGTCATGAAGGTAACTCGTAGGACATTTTAGCAATTGTCGTAAGGGACTAAGATCGTTTACCGAGGAAGCACCGAATGGTCATCGGGAGACTACGATCTTTTTAACCGAAAGGTCTTTACTAAAGCATCCCACGTTCGAGGGACATGACTGTTTTTATCCGAGGCAACAAGTAGGGGTCACCCTAGAGGTGCGTGTGTGCGAACTGTGTTGAGTTTCAGTTATTTTGTCTTGGATTTATGGTTATCTAGCATTTGCTTTTAGTCTTTGTCATACAATCCTATTAAACTAGCAGTTATATAGACAAACAGAATTATAAGTGCGGATAGTAAAATATGGGAAGGTAAATCCTACGCTATTACAATGCTTCGGGGATGCAGAATACAAACCATAAAAAAAGGGAAAAAGTACAGTAAATCCTAATTTATCTATTACATCCCTTAACAGTTACATAATTATAAAAACAACAATGCCAAAAAAAAAAAAAGCGCGCGGAGATTGTGAAAAAGGGAAAGATATTAAAACCTAAAAAATTTCTAAGTGTTAGAAGAGTTTTTTTTTTGGTGTTTTGTTTAGAAAAATATTTTATAGTGTAAAATAATAGTAAACCCTAATTCTAATTAATTTAAAAATTAATTAATAAAATAAAATCAAAATATGCTTAAATTGAATCAATTTTTATTTATTAAAAATTAAATTAATTAATCAAAAACCTAAATCTACTTTTTTTAAAGGATTTTGTGATTTTTTTCTGATTTAAATAAAATAGATTAAAAAAGAATAATTAATTAAAACACAAAAAGAAATGAAACGGGCCTGCTAAAAACAAGTTGGGGGTGCAGAATCAAAAAATATCTTAGGCCCGGGCGTTGGAGGGAGGCCATCAGAGTCCTATGCATCTCTCCAATGAGGTATATCCTAAGTGCTCGGATCTGGAGCGCTGGATTTAGATATGTTGAGATTTGATAGTGTGGAGTTGGAGATGTATGATGCGCGCGTGGATCTGCTTGATATCAGATCTGCAAGAGAAGTATTGAAAAATAATATGTCAGGGGCAGGGATCAAACCCATGCCCTGGCACACTAATACCTTAACACACACACGTTTGTCACTGGGGCGGCCACTACATCCGGTATATAAACCAAACGAAAACAACAAAACAAAAAGTGAAGTATATGGTCGGAGAAGCGTTGGAGCCCTAGCTCCGGTTGTCTTCTCCAACAAGCTACAAACACGAAACCTGCAAAATCAAGATATTAATGGTATAAAATGACATGTCCCCCCTAATTCAACCCTTTTGAGTTCGAATATGGGGTTTGTTTTGACTAACAACACTTGTAGCATGAGATGCAAAGAGATTGCGTTTGACTACTCTATCTATGGCATCTTTCGATCCTAACATGGAATCTTTGATCTAACCACCCATTCCTGATCTATAAGTTCACATAAACTCAATCAAACATTAGTATGCCATGAAATGTGATTAAAATCATAGATTCAAAACTTAAAATCTTACCAAACTGGTGTTGTCAAGTGGGATGTTCTGGGAACAGTGGGACGTGCTAATGGGCTACAGGAGACTCTTGGGAATCTCATGAGTGATGTTTGATCACTGGTTTGGGTTGAGAACTTATGAAAATTAGGATTTGATGCTTGGCTTTTTTTGAAAATTTTGTGAACAAAGTTTAGGCTTAGAGGTAGCAGCTGCTTGTGTGTCCTTGAGATCTGAAGCTTGTGTATATATGAGGTATCCGATTAGGTTAACATTTGTAGCGTCAATCAAATGGCATTATGGAGTTTCAATTTTGCTTCAAAACTTTCCAAAAGAAGATATTTTCTTCCCTTCTTTGCTTTGCATGGTTTTGGTAATTGTCCATGGGCTTTTTGAGCTTCACATTTGGTCCAATACAAAGACTTGCACGCCTAGTTCATAGTCTTGTATTTACTTTGAATTAATTTTTATTTTAAATAAATAAAATCAAAATAAATAAAATAAAAGACTAAAACAATGTATGGATGCACTTAGGGGTCTTTAAACATGTTATGAACACATTTGAATTCCAAAACTTAGGCCCAATAGCCCAAAATCACAAATTTGCTCAATTGAGACTTCATGCATTTCTCAAAAATTGCCCAACTTGTGAAACTCATAACTTGCTCAATTTTCATCTTTTGAAGGTAATATTGGACTTTTTGGAAAGCTAGAGATGTTCTATACAATTTCTTTTTTGATCATTTTTGCATTTGGAGAATTTATCTTGATGTAAGTTGCCTTGATAAAAAGTGTCTTTTGGTTGACTTTTGAAATGACCTATAATGTATGAGCTCATATCTTTCAAATGAGGCATTTTTTGGACTTGAGCATAAATACAAAGTTGTAGAGAATGGGATTTCCTTAAAAATAGGATTTTGTTGGGGAAAATTTGATGAAACATGTGAAAGTTATGCTTGGTCAAAGTTCAGTTGACTTTTCCTAAGGAAACCCTAATTTGGCAATTTTTTACCTTTGATGATTTGAGAGCTTTTTCTTAAGGAATCATGATCAGCCCTTTATTAAATGATGAATATCACTTAAAAATGTTGATGTTGACAAAAAGTCTTGAAGTTTGACTGTATGTTAACCATAGTTGACTTTTTACCCAATACAGTTGATTTTCAATCATCTAAGCTATTGACTGAGCAAACTTGTGATGCAAGACTTGAAACTTGACATGAGCACTATTGTGGATCTATTATGAACCATGAAAATTATTTGAGACCTTTGCAACCCAAAATTCCTTGAGGAACTCAAAACCCTAGTTGTAGACCCCTTGCTTAGGAGGAGGTTTTGATTGGTCAACCCTTGAGATTCTTAAGCATTTTGAAAACCCTTAAAAGAATGTCTTGAAGAAAATGGGAGGGAAAATTTTGGGGTACAACACTTTGGTTATGTCTGGTTGTGGTTGAGTTGAACCATTTTAAACCAGATGAAGTTCACTGGAAGGCGGACATGCAGGGGGGATACACTTCAAGTAACAGAATGGCTCTGTTAGCGCGGTTTCATGTAGGAACGGGTTTAGAAGATGGTTGTTTGGAAGTGCTCAATTTATTATGGCGTACTTATATGCCTTTTAAAATTAAAGTTTTTGGTTGGAGATGCTTTTTGAATAGATTATTGTTGTACCCCAAAATTTGCCCTCCTCTTTTTCCACAAGAAATCACAGCTTCGGGCTTTTCCTGATTTTTCATACTGGCTCTAGAATCGGTCAAACAGACTTTTCTCGTCAGTCAGACAAAATTTAGGGTTTTCTCTGATTTTAAAGCAGTTCAAACAGATTGCTTAGGGTTTGGTTGAGTTGGCTCAGGTTTTGATCAAGCGGACGCTTCTTTGAAAATTAAAACAAGAATCAGAGTTTTCGTGCGCGCATTCTCAGAAAGAATTAATTCTACAGTTCTTTTCAAATTACTCTGAGATATGGACTGAGGTTTCTGATTGAGAATTTGCAGTGTTTGATTGAATCAGTAAAAGAAAAGGCATGTGGACGTTTTGTTTGATTAACTGTGCAATGTTTTGGATTATTCGGAACGCCAGACGTTTATTAATTATTTCTTTTTCTAAGTCAAAATAATTGGATTTACTTCCAGTTGTTTCAATTTAAGAAATTCAAATGATTAAATAAACAGGGAATTGAAAGAAGGAATTAACTGACAAAAAGGGATTTTTATTCATATTTAATTGTTTGTTACAAATTATTATTTAAACAACTGTAAATTTATTTACATTTTGTTTCCAATGATAATGTTACAAATAATTGAAGAATAAATTGAAACTATCCTAAAATTTCCTAAGTCTTCATCTTCTATCCA